GGGGGGGGGGGTTGGGTATAGTTGTAGATCTTTTATTTTCATCAATACGCACACTCCACACATCCACACCCACATCTTCACCCACACCCACATTTACACCCACTGTCACACCCACACCTACACTCACACCCATATCCACATCCACATCCACACCTCACCCACATCTTCACCCACACCCACACTTACACCGAGAGTCACACCCACACCCACACCACACCCACACTTACACCCACAGTCACACCCACACCTACACCCACACCCATACCCACACCCACATCCACACCCACACCCACACCCACACCACACCCACACTTTCACCCACACCCAAAATAGTATCATCGGATAGAGAATGAAATTCTGCATCCAACACACTTGATTAGAAAGGTAACACAAGTAGTGTAGCGAATCCGGACACGAGTTACACCCGAAAAAAGTGTCTCAGAGCCAGTATATGGGGTATAACCCTCCGGTTTTGCCCTATGACAATCTTTGAAAATAGTACCATCAAATAGAGAATGAAATTCTGCATCCAACACACTCGATTAGAAAGTTAACACAAGTAGTGTAGCGAATCCGGACACGAGTTACACTCGAAAAAAAGGTCTCAAAGCCAGTATATGGGGTATAACCCTCCAGTTTTGCCCGATAACACCTTTTGAAAATAGTACCATCAGATAGAGAATGAAATTCTGCATCCAACACACTTGATTGGAAGTTTAACACAAGTGATAGAGCGAATCCGGACAAGAAATACCGGAGATAGGTTATCGGTACACAGGAGAAAAGTCAGTATTTTGGGTAAAAGCAGTGGTTTTTTGCGCGACGACCCCCATTATAGATAGTAGCATTCGATAGAGCAATAAATTCTGCACCCAACACAAGCACTCAGCGAGGTAACACAGGTAAGAATGCGAATCGGGACAAGAAATACTCGAATCTGGTGTTTACTTAACTTACGTCACAATCTAATTGATCTGCAAATAGAGCTTTATCTTCCGATTACACTGATGATACTTCGAGGTTTTCAGATATAGAGAACTCGAGTGTGTAGTGCACTTCCATCGAAATACTACTACTTGTGCAGTGACCAATAGAAATGAAGTTATAGGGAAAACGACTTTCTTATAATAAATCAAGGTGCGGAGTTCAAACTTGAGCTTAGTTCGGTTCCATACCCTATTGGTTTGGCAACACACAATATAAATTAACATTTTAAATGGTAGATTTCCCAGTATAATTTTGATATTTTCGACAGTCTAGGATGACTGATTTGTATATTCACTTTTTGAAGTACACATAACTCTCGGATTTAAATCCGAAGTTTCCGCATTTATTTTATGTCATAATCAAAGTGTTGCAACAATCGGTGATACACATGTTATCGAAACATTTCTCTCAGAAGAATTTTTAAAAGAAAACCAAATAAAAGGTAAAACTGCAAGACAAAGGTGATGAAAAATCTTATAGTATGATTCTACTCAAACGTAGTTTAGAAAAATTTTAAATAGAAAAACATCTATGATCTTCTTAATGATAAACATATCGATTTCTTTAAAATTTAATATGAAGCAAATATGTAATATGTTGAACAAGCAAAAGCAAGGCATGAGTCTAGTAAAAAATTTTTATCAAATCTTTCTTCTGGAGATACAAATTCTGTAAGAAAATTTTTGATCGAAGAAAATAAACTAGTAGAAAGTGTTCACAATTCAAAAACTGTTTGTTTAATCGATACAATAAATTCAATGTTTCATTTGTTAAATAATTGTAAGAATTCAATTGATATTATTGTTTTAGCGTGTTTCTCAAGTTTTTAAAGAGAACAATATAAATTTAGATTCATTTCAAATACAATTTGTTCTTATATAAAAATTATAATAGTAAACAAAATATGATTCTTGAATATTCTCCTTGGAAAACAAAAACAGATAATTTACATAATTTTATGAAAACCATCAATACTGCAGAAAAATGGAGAAATAAAGCTATTGAAATTGGTTTATGGTATGCTAATAATGAAAATCAGAAAGAATAAATCACGTTATTTATCTGGATTGAAGATGCACTCCCAAATACAAGAGATTAAGTAAAAGAAAAGAAAGAGGACTATGAAGAAAATATTCGGAAAAAAGTAAATATTCACAAACAACCTATTATGAAAATAAATTAGCTAAGTTTATATCGAATAAAATTCCAGTAAATACTTTTTATGTTGATAGTCAAACGAAAAAGAAAGTTTTCAAGAAATAGCCGATCGAACAGAAGAACATTATCAAATATTAGATATAAATTCTTCATCATGTTCACAAATATTAACAGATTTAGTGACTGAAGAAATCTTATAAAGAAATGTCGATAAAAATTCAAAAAAGAAAATAGACTTGTTGAAACATACAAAAAATAAATTTGGAAAAAGATGTACATAAAAAATATTTTTCTTTATTAAAAACGAATTGATACGATTTGTTCTATTGATTAAAACAATAAATCTTCCTTGGAAATACTTAGATAAATATTATTGAGCCAATTTTATATAGTTTGATAGGTCTTTATTGAAATAAATTGAAATATTTGTCTTGTTATTGCTCTGTACTTCCACTATAGTTTTTTTACAAGTATTTCTCATATAGAATTCTAAACTATGAATGTTTTTCAATGGAATTCTCTATTTATTTTGTAATTGTCATTATTCATTTTTCTTTCATTTATCATTTTTATTTGTATATTTTTTTCTATTTAAATTATAATCCTGAATAAATAATTTTTGTGAGAAAAGTTACTTAAACGTACTTTATAATAAATCTATTTAAGCTATGAACAGTTTACTTTAATTAATTCATAAATTTTCATAGATTATTCTCGATTACATTATATGTTCGATCACATGAAATAGCAAGAATTCAAATATTAAACAGAATGTGGGTTATGGAGTGGCTGTAATTACTCTCATTATTTACACACCCTGATTAGATTTTGTTAAAATATTATCTTTCAACGAGATCAGAAAAATTTAATCTATTCAGTTTATTTTTGTTGAATTTCAAAAAGAAGTGAATAGTAGATGACATTCAAGCTTTAACACTAAAATAGATTAGTTTTCAATGAATTGAATGAACAGAATCAAATATAAGTTTCTTTTTTTATCATTTCTAAATAAAACTCAAGAACTGAGTTGTTGATTTTAAATCTAGAGAGTTAAATAGATTGAAGCTTTCAACTTTGACTGATAACGAACTATTCAACATGAAATTTGCATAAAGAGATTTAAAAGTACAAAGAAGTTTAGATATCATTGTTATGCTTTTTAATAAGACAATAATATTCCAAGTTAATATAAATTCGAGATTTATACTAATTAGTACTTAGAGTATTTGAGATCGAATTACTTTTCTTGTCGATTAACAAACAAAGTTCATTGATGATTGACGATATAGAAAATAAACTCATCGTCATTTCTTTTTATTGAAAATTTATTTTTGTAATTGAATTTAAGTATAATTTGAATGGACATATCACCAAGGCGATAAAAATGAGAGGTAGAAAATGCTGAGATAAAAGGTATCTGTTTCAAATGTGAAAATATTTATTTGTGTATAATTTTATGAATCAACATTTTGACTTAATGAAAAAATAACAAGAATTTGGTAAAATTTTTTTAAGCATTTGAAAGAAAGAGCATTTTTTTTACTATATAATTATCGAATATACAATATTTCTGAATTGAATCAGTAGGAAATCGACTACAGAGATTTAAGTTTAAATGATAAATTGTACAATCAAAATTTTATATTGAGAGAAAAAAACTATTCATTTATTTATATTATTAGTGCAACCGATTTGAATTTTTCAAACTCATCTTCAACTGACTCTTCTAATTCAAAAGTAATTATAAATTCTCAATAGTTCTTTTTCAAATTCAATTAAAGAAAAATTCAGAAGATTCTATATTGATCTATTCTGTTTTATAAAATATTGTCGAACATTGTTTCATTTATATTTAAGAAAAAGTTGAAAATCTTACAAATTTAATTCAATTATTTTGAAAGAAAAGAGCATTAAATCATTTTTGTTCGATCGAATATGACTGTTTATGCTTTTTGACTGTACCTCTTAAAATATTATTTGATTCAATTATTTCTTTTACATTTCTATTTTGTTCAATTATTATCGATAATAGACATTCGATGTTTAATCTAATGAGATGATGGTATTATTTTGTTAAACTACTATGAATAATATCAATGATATATATGAAATGAATTTTCTTTATAATATTATTATTTGTGTAAAATGTGTGACAATGATAATTAGGTGTATGTAGTATCTCTTTATTCATTCTCAAATTTATACCATTGATAATTTAATCGACTAATAAAAGAATATTCTGTAGAGACACTAATATGATTAAAATAAAATATATAAATATTTCTCTTCTCTTATATAGAGCGTCCTCTTCTTTTTTTTTGCACATAGAGCTTTAATTTAATTTTGATTAATTCGTTCTTTGAGAACTTATTAAATTCACAATAAAGAAAGAAAATACCCATATTCATTACGAAATAATATTTAATGATAAATTTTTTAATTGAAATATTGATTAATTTCTAGATGAATATTATCGTTTCATTTGTACGAAAATTGAAAAAACAAGTAAAATATTTTTAAAGAAATTCGAAATTTCAATATATCAATGTTTAGACATTCGATTTGAATTATATTGTTCGATATCAATTGTTATTCAATATCGAAAGAATTCGAATAAAGGTTTAATTGTTTTATTTAATAGATTAAATTTTTATTTAAATTATTTTAATTTCGATAAATTATTTAAATGATTTATTAACATATAATAAAACACAAAGAATGATTTATAATTATCAAATGTTAAATATGATTGACAGTAAATATTTTTCTTTATAGATAAACATAATATTTATTTTCTTTTTATAAAAACTAGATAATCAAAGAAATTTTTTATTTTACAATTCAATTCTTTTTTCCAAGATCGATTCAACTTCAAATAAACATGAAAAACTTCTAAATGAAATTCGATTACATCGAAAACAATTAGGAAATAAAGTTTTAGTAGGAAAATCACTTACTGTAGTAAATGAAGAAATAGTGGTCATATATCTTATTTAATTTTAAACAAAGATTTAAAAAAAAAACAATGATATTTTTATCGTTTTTTTTTAGCAATTTTTAGTCAATGATAAATCGCATTCTCAATCGAAAGAAATTTATGCTGAACTTAATCGTTTAACACTTGAACTTCTTGCTGATGGTTATGTATTTGATCCAAGTTGGATCAGTCGTAAATTACGAGATGATGAAACTGTTATATCTGCATTATGTGGTCATAGTGAAAAACTTACATTAGCTTTTAATTTGATTCAAAAACCTATTCCATCTTTTATTCAAATAAAAAATAATATTCGTCTTTGTGGTGATTGTCGTAAGTTTATTTTAGTTACCTTTGATAATATATAAAGGAATTTCAACTTTTTTTGTAGTATTTCGCTTCTCTGAATAGATTCGAACAATTTTTTTTTAAATAAGTAATGGCATCTGGTATATCTTCCATTGGTATAAAAAATTGTAGTCTTGTAGCTCGTACTATTGCTAAGTTATAACAGATATATAACAAAAAAAAATGCTCATTTTTTAATGACATGTGATAAGAAAAAACGAATTTTTAGGCTATAAAAGATTCAGAGAAAAAAAGATGCTATTAGATTGTTTTGTATAATATTCGATGCTCTATCGAAATATATTATTGATATGAATGTAATGATTTGTTTTTTCTTTCGTCTAACGTTCACACTATTTTGCAAACACTTTATTATTTTTGTGTAGAGTGACGAAAACGTAGCTGTATAAAAGATAAGAATTTCAACTCTTAATCTTTTTCTATTATGAAGAAATTTACATTATACTAAAAAAAAACAGAGAAGTGACGAATTTTTACAGATATTTTCAGTATTGTTTGTTAAGCAATAGTGTACGTTAAAATAAGTGCACAATATATTGTGACTCTTTTACAATTTTCTAACCTCTATACCGAGCAAAAAGAATGATCTTGTTATTGAAATAAGTATAGTTAATTTAATCATCAAATGTAGTAAAACTAAGCTTTGTATATAATATAATCATAAAAAGAGCATTCTGAAATCGATTTAGACTATCAAAGACTCAGTAGAAAGTTGTTCAAATTTTTTTAAACCTGTATATTATATCGTTTTTAAGATGAAAGATATTTCTAAATTTCGTACTGATAGTTATTGTCAAAGAATAAAAATAAAAAGAATTGTATCTCAATGGTTCATTTTTCAATAAAGTTTAATCTTTTTTTATTTATTCATTTTTGGTGTAAAACACTGAAGAAAGTGTTGGTTACATTCAGCATAAAAAACTGCATCCGATTACTTAGATTTTATCAAAAAAATAAATGTGGAAACCTCGGATTTAAATCCGAGAGTTATGTGTACTTCAAAAAGTAAATGAGACAAATCGGTCATCCTAGAATATGCGGATATAAAAATTAGCCTGGCAAATCCTTTCTATAAACATTTGAATTCTATTGGCTACTACTCAACCAATAGGATTTCGGAGTGAACACAGCTCAGATTTGGACTCTTCGCCTTGAGTTATCCTAAAAAACTCGTTTTTCCTATAATTTGGTTTCTATTGGTCAGTGCTCAACCAATGGGGCTTCGAGTGAAGTGGATTACAAATTCGAGTTCTTCATCCTAGAAAACCTCGAAGTATTATCTCTGTGATCGGAAGATAGAGCTCGAATTGTGGATCGATTAGAGCGCAGACAAAAATAGAACCGATTTCCGTTTGTTTATCTCTGCAATAGGTGAGCTAGCCTTGTTGTTTCTTTATGTTTTATATACTGTTTTGTAGCTCGTGAAATTCTCTATCGAATGGTATATAATAGTTGGGGGTTTATATGACTATGATAGGAAAAGTTTTTTACGAAAGCAGAGAAGGGTCTATCTTCTCATAGGGAAAAATGACTATTTTTGCAATAACTCAGCAATGGCTCGGCCAATCATTCTCACCTTCGAACTCGACCGAGATATTGTAAAGACTAAACTGTGTAGAAAATTTCATCGCGATCGGACTCTCCTTTCAAAAGTTATCGTGTAAAGGACGGCCGGCCGGACGGACACACTGACCGATTCTAGAGTGTACTCACTTTTTGAGTACACAAAAAGTGAAGATAATTGAGTCCTCATAATATAGGACTTCAGAACCTAAGGGTACCCTGATAATATAGGACTTGAGGACCTAAGGGTACCCTTATAGTATAGGACTTGAGAATCTAAAGGCACCCCTATAATACAGGACTTGAGGACATAACGATACCTCCCTAATATAGGACTTAAAGACGTAAAGGTACTTAAACACGCCCCCCCCCCCCCGGAATAGGTCAATATTGGTATAGGAAAAAACGTAGGAAATAATGACTTTTTTGCTATAACTCAGCCATTTCTTGACCAATCATTCTCATCTTCGAACTCGACCGAGATATTGATGAGACAATTCTATGTGCGAATTTCATCACAATCGGATGATATTTTTCAAGGATTATCGTGTAAACGGTCGGCCGGACACACTGACCGATTTTAGAGTGTACTAACTTTTCGAGTACACAAAAAAGTGAATGAGACTGATTAGTCATCCTAGAATGTGTGGGCATAAAAATTATCCTGGCAAATCTTTTCTATAAACAGTTGATTTCTATTGGCTACTGCTCAACCACTAGGATTTACAGATGAATAGAGCTCAGATTTGAACTCTTCGCCTTGATTTACCCTAGTAAAGTCGTTTTTCCGATAACTTCATTTCCATTGGTCACTGCTCAACCAATAGGATTTCGAGGCGAATGGAGCACAGATTCGAGTTCTCCACCCCAGAAAACCTCGAACTATCATCTCTGTGATGGGAAGATAGAGCTCGATTTGTGGATCACATAGAGCGTGGACAAAAACAGAACCGAATTCCGATTAATTATCTTTGCAATAGGCGAGTTAGCTTTCTTGTTTCTTTATGTTTTATATACTGTTTTGTAGCTCGTGAAATTCTCTATCGAATGGTATATAATAGTTGGGGTTTTATATGACTATGATAGGAAAAGTTTTTTACGAAAGCATAGAAGGGTCTATCTTCTCATAGGGAAAATGACTATTTTTGCAATAACTCAGCAATGGCTCGGCCAATCATTCTCATCTTCGAACTCGACCGAGATATTGTTAAGACTAAACTGTGTAGAAAATTTCATCGCGATCGGACTCTCTTTTCAAAAGTTATCGTGTTAACGGCCGGACGGACGGGCGGACGGGCGGACGGCCGGACATACTGACTGATTCTAGAGTGTACTCACTTTTTGAGTACACAATAAAAGACACTACTTAAAAATTATTTAGGTTTATTTTCAATCGTATGAAAAAGTTGTAATTGACTGATATGTATATTTATATATTTATTCTTTAGATGAATTCATGAAACGAGTAGCTAAACTTCGACAATGCGAAATTATTGTTTCTGATGCAAATCGTATTCATCATTTTAAAACAAATGGTGAATGTTCTTGTAAAGACCATTTCTAACAGTTTATTTCTTGTTTTTTGTTTTGATTTTTTTGAAAAAAAGAATATAGATTATTGTTATAAGATTTAGTTGAAAAAGGATTGATTCATTTTCTCATTTGTTGTTATCTTATGAAATATAATAAAAGATAATTATCATTTTCTAACACTCATATGAAGAAATTTTTTTAAAAATAATAAATATTTCCTAATACATGTCGGTCTTTTATTTTTCATTTGAAAAGAAATGAAAATTTCTTTAGATTTTTGTTTTGATCTAGTTTCATAGAGAATTAGCATTTCAGAAAGAAAATTAGTGAGGATATTTTTTTTTAGATATCTTTCATTTAAACATGAAAATTATGATATTAAAGTAAAAGATATTATTAAACTGCGATTTCTAATTTTTCTATAGGTAAAACACGACATATTTTACAATTTATTCATAGAGATCGAGGTTCAATGATAAGTATTGTACACTAAAAGATAGGGAGTCTTTTTTTATTACGTATCAGTGACTTTAGCATCAATAAGTTCTATAAGAAAGTTCGTCTTTTTACTTCTGCAAACCTCTAAAGTTGGATTTCTATAAAACTCTAGTTTTCCAATTGTAGATGACAAAAAAAAATTGAATATGATATTCAGTTTCATCATCTAAAAATTTCATTTTTTTTTTAATTTTGGAATATTTCAGTTGACATACTAAGTGATTGAGACATTGTTCGAACATCGAAGAATAGACAATTAAAAACTGAACGAACGTAAGAATACTATACAAATTAAAATAAAAGATTTTACTCAAATTCTTTCGGAAATAACTCGGAAAAATTGACGCATACAATAAAATCTCGATTTTTTCCAATGAAAGCTTGAATCGAATGTCATTCAATCGATAAGAAAACTATAAGTTGAAAGCTTTTTAAAAAAAAGTTAAATTGTGCGCAAAAGAACCAATTCCATCCAGGTCGATAGCTAATCAAACTCAAAGTTGAGTGTGATGCTGATCTACTACTTATGATTACAATCAGAGCCACATTCACAATCTAGATAGTTTTTTATATGGGATTCTAAAGAATGTTCAAGTCTTGTTGATTTAAAAAAAAAATTATCTGAAAAATTCTTGATCTCTTTCTGTTGGGTGTGTAAGTATCATAATCTAAATAAGACTAAAACGTATTGGTCAATATTTAATATTATCATTCCTCTTCATCAGCTATTATTGACTTGTATATAGATTGTTAAGTCTTCTTCTCTTTATCTTATTCAACATTGAGGAAACTAATACAAGTCCTTAAGCCTTGCTGCATGTAGTAACAAGTAGAAGCCACGTTTCTATGATAACAATCCAAGCAGACCTTACAACAGACTAGGCACACTGTACGATCTGTTTTATTTTTCTTTAATAGCAAAGTATTTTTCATAAATTAGGTGTGGGTATTATTAAAGAGAAGAATTAAAATTAGATCTCACACCCTCAATTGAGAAGTTCAATGGCTAGGAAAAGGAGAAAACAAGAAATTTTTTTATTAGTCATTGATTAAAATTAATAAGTATTTCAAATACATCAATTTCGACTAAAATCTTTGATATGGATTGTATATGACTCATCTATCGGTATATGTAATTATACTTATAGTTTCATTTTTCTTCTCAAATAACAATCGTCAAAGCTTTGAATCCATGGAATTTCTATTAATTGACGTTAATATCATAGTGTTCTATAATAAAATATATATGAATATAATTTATAGAAGGTTTTCAACAATTAAATATAAAATGGATATTTGCTTATTATGGCTTCAATTTTATCTCTCCTATCATCTATTAAATGATTAATTTCTTATCAAAGACGATCATTGAGTTCAGTTGTATCGATCAACAGAAAATTTTCGTTATGTAATTGAATAAATGACATGTATGTTTCAATATCAACTGTTTTAGTAGAAGTTAAAATGTGGAAAGATGAAGCTATAAACATTTTTCATATTTTAATTGAGATTTATCTCAAAAAATAAATATGATGTGTTTGCTTCTTTTCATTGAGAAAAAAAGCAAAGAATTGTGAAAAAAAAACATAATCTCAACTTAATTCCATTTTAATATGAATGAATATCAATAAAGTCAACAAAGATTCCAAATTATCTTATTTTTATTCTGTATTAACTGGGAATAACAACACAATAAAAAAAACAAACATGGTAATGATTATCAAAAGTTTCAACGAGTAACAAGTATATTTAACAACTGGTTAATAAACACCATAATCATAAAATGCACTTTCTACGTGATAATATGATACCCTTACCATAAGAAACTAATAGACATTGATTTCGATTAGATCTACTGACATATTGAAGTTGAATCGTATCATGAAGATAAATAAAATTTTATGAATTTTACCATTATTATTGTTATAAAACAGTAATGTCCTTCTCAATCGTTTCTACAAAGGAATATATAACATACTAAAATAAAATACATCATTACTTCTATCTTAAACAATGTTCGAATCCTTTTAGAAGCAAAGAAATGTTAATTTTTCTTTTCAGTTGAAAGTTCTTTCCGAGTACGAGAATTTATGTATAATGCATCTTCTTTTCTATTTCATTGCTAACTTTTTATCTATACAAAGCATTAAAATCTAAAGCAAGATTATTCTATATTATATTTTAATATCGAGAATCTGGAAAGTATATCAATTGGATCATAAATACTATAAGAAGAATAATTTTATTTTTTTATGTAATGATAATTTAATTTAACTGACTAATATTATTATATAGAAGATTATAGAAACAACAACTATCCGTTTTATTAGTAATATTTATAATATGAAATCATATATTGTTTTTCTATTTATTTTTTTTAAGAAATCGAATAGAATTTATTTTATTATTTTCATAATCAATCAATAAATACTTGTTATTCTTTACAGAGAAAAAAAATTAAATTTGATTGAATATGAAATAGAAGAAAATTCATGTAAATAATAATTAATTCTTATTTCATTTTTTGTATCTAATCATAAATTGTTCTATTATGACATTACATAGATATATTTGAGTGAAAATATATTTTGATTATATTAAACGCTTTCTCATACTTTCGTATAAGACGATAGACATAAAACTATATGAGATATTTTTCAAATTCTAAAATGATTTCAAAAATTGAATCTCATAAACATAAAATAAAGAAATGCTACCTAAATATCAAGTTTCAACAATAAAACTGAACGTTCAAATATTTGATTCATTTGAGAATACTGTAGTATATTATTAAAAAAAGAAGTTTGTTAGAGTATGTCGGTATGGATTCATCAATGAATATAGAAGCTACATACACTCACACACTTGTTGCTACTCTCAATAGAAATTCTATATTCAGTATATAATAGTCATATGATCATTTCTAACAAAATCAATATAACTGTAAGTGTGCTTTTGCTGACTTGTATGATTCTAGGTCTAGATGTCAAGTAGAGAAACAAACAGTAAACATTCATACCTGTACCTAAGCCTAAAGTTATTATTGCAATACACAAATATGTTTGCCATTTTACATAATCTAAAAGATATTTGGAGGAAGCATTAAATAGGAAAGAGTTGAGATAGCGCTATTCATAAAAAGAAAAAGATCAAATAAACTGGCTAGATGTAGACTGTGTTGCTTATTCCAACGGACGATGAGTTCATAGGAGCTATTCAGCGGCGGGCCAGCATCTTCAATCGAGGTGTGGCAATTACCACCTATTGCTATATGGTAGAGCCCTGCGAAAGAGAGCTAAACCCTGAAAAATTTTGGTTCCCCTGTTCCATAGCACAAGTGGAATTGTTCCAAAAAGTTTCTGCATAGGACAGCTGAAATTGAAACTTCAGAAAAGAAATTTTGCACGCAACAGTCAGAATCAGGACTTTAAAAAAGTTGTCTCGAACTTCATTAATTTTATCTGCAACATGTTCTACAATTACAAATTACGTTTATTTTATTGCACATAAATAATTTTTCATATGAAAAAACGAGAAAAAACAGGCAAAAAATTATAAATGTTTTCTAATTCTTTATTCTAATCATTTTCATCATTTTCGCCTTATTTGATAATTTTATTTTTGTATGTGGTGCTGCTGACGATCGAGAATCGTTTGAAACGTCACTAACTTTTCTTTTTCTGTCTGTTTCATGGCCTGAGTAATACATTTCTTTTAGTATTTTGCATATTACGCTTAATGAATAAGAAGTTATTAATTTTATCCACGTCTAAACAGTCAATTACTCACACAAGGATATGTTTATATTTGTTTTGGATACCGAGACAGACAGGTTTTTCGAGACATTTAGAGAAGAATACGCACAGAACATTTGGGGTCGAGATTTTTCAAAAAAAGACGATTCGGAGTGAGAACTCAGGATTAGTACGCTTACAAAAAATTTGGGAATGCGACAGAAAAAAAGTTTGTCCATCACGACTGTACTATATGGTGACCCACCAATGATTATAGGAAAGTGTATTTTAGATTCAACTGTGCCACTAATAATATTTTTAGGTGTGGCAATTGCCACCAATTGCCAGCTGGTGGCCCGCCGATGGAGCTACCCAGGTGATTCAATCCGACCTGTAGATCCTACCGGAAACTATCGGATCCGATGTCGGATCACACCGAAATTCGTCGGGTTCCCAACTAAATCCGATCGGAACCCAACCGTATTTCACAGGATTCCTAACTAACGGATTCCGGACCGGATTACGTCGGAAAGGATCCGACCGGATCCTGTCGGAACTGTTTGTCAGATAATGCCGTAACCACCAGCATCCTTTCACAGAGAAACGCCTGATAACTTAAGGCTCCGACAGAATACAGTTGGATTTCATCAGAAGTTGGCTGAATCTGTTTCGATTGCACAAGGATTCAATCAACATTTCACACAAATTTCATTCTAGCATTCTCAAAATTTCCAAGGATTTCATCGAGATTTCTGAAGATTTCTCAAGGATTTCATCGAGATTTCTGAAGATTTTCCCAGGATTTCATTCAGATTTCTGAAGATTTTCCAAGGATTTCATCAAGATTCATAAAGATTTCTCAAGGATTTCGACGAGATTTCTGAAGATTTCACAAAGATTTCATTCTAGCATTCTCAAAATTTCCAAGGATTTCATTGAGATTTCTGGAGATTTTCCCAGGATTTCATCCAGTTTTCTGAAGATTTTCTAAGGATTTCACCAAGATTTATAAAGATTTCTCAAGGATTTCGACGAGATTTCCGAAGATTTCTCAACGATTTCATCAAAAATTCTAAAGATTTTCCAAAGATTGAATCGACATTTTGAACAGATTTCACCAGGATGCTATCAACATTTCTAAAGATTGCATCAGGATGTCATCAAGAGTCTAAAGGATGTCAACTGTTTCAACTGGGATTATTCCTAGAATCCAACAATGTATATACTACGATCCTTCTTAAAATTGAACAATGCTTGTACT